ATTCAGCTGTAAAAAAGGTGTGCCATGGAATTGTATGCCTTGATATAGAAAGCGTTGGGAACAGCTGCTGTCCTGAATACTAGTAATATTCCAGAAATAGTTGTCAATCAGGAAGTGGAAGGAAGGGAAGAAACTCAAGAAAGTTGTAATCCCCAGAGAGGTAGTATAAGCAAAATGCTGGAGCTGCAGGCTGACCGGTCCCCAGGTCCTGATGGACTTCCTCCAAATGTCTTAAAAGGGGCTAGTGAGATAGTTGATCTGTTGGTTTTAATTTTCCAAAATTCTGTAGATTCTGAAAAGATTCCAGAAGACTGAAAAATGGTGAGTGCAAGTTCTTCATTCAAAACGGGTGTGAGGCAGAAAGCCAGAAACTACAGGCCAGCTGCTACACATCTGTCCTAAGCAAGATACAAGAAGCTACTAGAATATTGTTGCAGGATGCTTAGAAAAGTTTGTGGTAATCAGGCAAAGTGAATGTGATTTGCAAAGGGTAAATTATGTTAAACCCAATTTATTCTTTGAGGAAGAAATGTCTGCTTTGGATTACTGTTGGATGTATTAAAATTTCCAGAAGACTCCTGATAAGGTGCCATTTCAAAGGTCACTGCAGAAATTAAAAGTTCATAGTGTATAGGATAACATATTTGCATGGGTACAAAATTAGTTGGTTAACAAATGAGGCATCTGTGGGTCATTTTCTGATTAGTAAGGTGTAATGAGTGGTATGCCACGGGAATCAATACAAGGCCCTCAATTATTTGACTATTTATATAAGTGACTTGAATGAAGGGTCTGAGGGTACGCTTGCTAAATATCCAACCATATCAATGTCACCCTCTACATGATGACCTTTTAACTTCCACTATAACTTTAAAAATGTCCAACGCAAACTTAATAATTGACAGAGTGCAGCACTCCAAGACTCTCAAATTATACCGACCCAGTTTGAAACACAATTTAAAAAATAAACTGACTAAATATAGCTCTGGCTATTCTCAATACAATGAAAATTGCGAAGATGAACAGAAACAAGCTGAAAGAAGATCTTTAGGTTCGTGCGCCGATTCCATCAGTTTTCGTGGCCCTCAGCACCAAACCCGAATTAAACATGCGGCTCAAAGATGAGAACTTGTGGCTGCGACCGCCTTACCATCGCTGTTTTTGTCAGGGTCGAAACGCTGCCCGCAGCCCTTGTTATAACACAAGAGAGACATTTCCCCACAGGGAAAATATGATCTTCAAGCAGCTCGAACAGCCCTGCGAAGGCGTAGTTCGAGATCGAGGAGCTTTCGCCAGCAGCACAGCCCGGCTGCTCGACTCGCCTGTTTCGTTCACGGCACTCTCCGGAACCGCTCGGCCGTTTCCGCCCTCGTTCTCGAACATTCCAGCCGGCGGAGCGTGCGCACAATGACGGCGCTTTTTGAACAGACAGCGGGAAGACTGGCGCTTGTCTTCGTTCAGAGTTAACGTCAGACCGACGAATAGCAGGCTTTCCAGAATTAATTTCTTAATAGGTAGCGTTTTAGGTTTTAGTTGGAATTCTTAGCTAGCCAGGGTTGATCGGAAGGGAACCCTAGCAGGGAAGACAGTGATGAATCAATGAAAGGAGTTTTTGGCGGCAATAAGGGAGGTACAGCAGAAATGTATCACAAGGAGGAGGAAGGAACATAATAAGGGGAGGAGAAGGCAACCTTGGCTGACTATATAAAAGATAATAGCATAGTGGGAAAATTAATGGGAAGCTAGAGGATTGGGAAGCTTTTAAAAACTAGTGGAGGATAACTAAAATGAACAATGGGGGAGCAGATGAAATATGAGAATAAGCTAACTAGTACTATAAAGGAATATTGCAAGAGTGTTTTACATATATAAAAGATAAGTAAGAAGCAACAGTGGACGCTGGAAAATCAGGCTGGAGAAGTAGTAATGGGCCATAAAGAAATGGCAGAGTAACTGCATAGATACTATGCAACAGTTTTCACAGTGGAAGATATCAGCAGCGTTCTAGAACTTAAAGAGTGTCAGGAGGCAGAGGTCAGTGTAGTGGCCATCACTAAAGAGAAGGTGCTGGGGGAGCTGAAAGGTCCGAAGGTGAATAAATCACCCAGACCAGATGGACTACACCCCAAACTTCTGAAGGAAATAACTGAGGAGACTGGAGGCACTTGTGATCTTTCAGGAATCACTGGAGTCAGTGAGGGTCTCATAGGACTGAAAAATAGCTAATGAACAGCTCTGTTTAACTGTGGAGTGAGGCAGAAGGCAGAACTATAGGCTGGTTAGCCTGACCTCAGTGGTTGGTAAGATTTTAGAGATCATTATTAAGGATGAGATGCTGACAACTTGACAGTGCATGGTAAAATAGGGCTGAGTTGGCACAGCTGTGTAAGGTAAGGCCATGTCTGACAAAGCTGTTAGAATTCATTGAGGAGGTAATGAGTAAGTTAGACAAATGGGAGCAAGTCTGTGTGATCTCTTTGGATCGCTGGAATGCCTTTGAAAAGGTGCTACACGAGAGGCTGCTAAATAAGATAAAACCTATTGTGTTAGGGGCAGATTACTGACAGGAATAGAGGATCAGCTGATTGGCAGAAAGCAGAGTTGGGTTAAAGGGTAGCTGGTGACAAGTGAAGTTCCGGTGGGAGTCTATTGGGATCACAACTATTCACATTATACTTTAATGATCTGGATGAAGGAACTGAGGGCATTGCAGATGTCATGATGATGGGTGGAGGGGCAGGTAGTATTGTGGAAGCAGGGAGACTGCGGAAGGACTTGGACAGGCTAGGAGAGTGGCCAAGGAGGTAGCAGATGGAATACAATGTGGGAAAGTGAGGTTATGCACTTTGGTAGGAAGAATAGAAGCACAGACTATTTTCTAAATGGGGAAAGCCTTCAGAAATTTGAAGCACAAAGGGATTTAGGAATCCTAGTCCAGGATTCTCTTAAAGTTGACATGCAGGTTCAGTTCACAGTTAGGAAGGCAAATGCAATATTGGCATTCATTTCAATAGGGCTAGAATACAAGAGCAGGGATGTATTGCTGAGGCCGCACACACTGCACTGGAGTAGTGTGTGCTGTTCTGGGCGCGTAAGGAAGAATGTGCTGGCATTGGAGGGGATCTAAAAGCAGTTTACATGAACAATCCCAGGGATGAAGGTCTTTTAATAGTGGTTGAAGGCTCTGGGTCTGTACTTGAAGTTTAGAAGGATGAGGGGGGACCTGAATGAGACTTACAGAATATGATAGGGGCATTTAAGAGACTTTTCGGTAAGCACACGAATGTGCAAGGAATGGAAGGATATGGACTAAGGGTAGGCAGAAGGATTAGTTTAATTTGGTGTCATGTTTGGCACAACATTGTGGGCCGAAAGTCCCGTTCCTGTGCTGTATTGTTCTGTGTTGTAATACTGAGAATCCTGGATAGAGTGGATGTGGAGAGGTCTTTCTACTAGTAGGAGAGACAAGGACCTGAGGGTACAGTCTCAGAATGAAGGGACAACCATTTAGAACTAAGATGAGTAGAAATTTCTTTAACTACAGGGTGGTGAATCTGTGGAACTGATTGCCACAGAAGGGTGTGGAGGCCAAGTCATTGTGCATGTAAGACAAAGATAGACTCATTCTTGATTAGTAAGTGGATCAGGTGTTTTTGATTTGATTTATTGTAGTCACATACTTAAGTACAGTAAAAAATTTAGTTTTGCGAGCAGTATAGACAGATCATAGCAAACGAAGTCAAAATCTCTCTGCTCCTATGATGCTGCTTGGCCTGCTGTGTTCATCCAGCCCTGCACCTTGTTGTCTCAAAATCATAGGGTGCTTGGACAGAGCGAGGCATACAATGCACAGGAGGTGCGCAAAACAAGATCAACGTTATTTGAGACATAGTAGGAACTGCTGATACTGGAGAATCTGAGATAACGAGGTGTTGAGCTGGATGA